CTCCTTTTCAACTAGGTGTATTTTTGATAGGGGGTGGAGAGGAGGGAAAACTTAGGATATTCTGTGGACTGACTTTTTTCCCCTCTCCCCCTTTCTTTTTAAGTTGCAAAACTGGATAAGCTTTGGAGAAATGCAGTCTGCACCGCACAAGTTGAAGGGATTGGTAACGTGACTTCAGAGATACTGGCTCTTAAGGGCAGAAAACAGGTATTACAAATAGAGCATGGTTAGATGTGTGAAATGGTTAATAATTCTATGAAAGCCCTCCCGAGGGGCTTCTCTCACTTTTCAGAGTTTGCAAGATAACCGTAGTTTGTCTGCTGAGTGGTCTTTCAGGATTGAAGCGGGGGGAGGGGGTGGGTGTGTCGGGTCCCTTTGACACCTGAATCTGCAAATCAGGACGACTGGCCCAGGAACCTCCATCTCTGCCCTTCACACCCCCCCCCCGCGAGGAGAGGTGAATGTCTGGGGTTGCCAACCTAGCTCGCCCAACGCCGTCTTCTTTTTCTTCTTCTTGTGCTGTTGCTGCTGCTACAAAGGGGGCCATCTTTCAATGCCAACTCCCTGTCCTCGAGGGAGGGACGTTGTTGTGGCCTTCCATGAGGCTGGGCTGCAACTCCCGCCCGTCCTGGCGAGGGATGATGGCAGTTGGAGTCTGCACTTATTTCTAACTATCCCACTCCACCTGAAAAGGCCCAAAGGTGGCCCAAGCTGTCAGCCGCCATCTGCACAGCCCATGTCCCCTGCTTGCGCCTCCTCCCGATCCAGTTTTTTTCCCCCTGCTCCCGCAAAGGCCACCATCCCTTCCCCATGACACCCATCCTTGTTTGCTGGTTTCCCAGCTGGTTCTCTCTCCCTCTCTCTCCCTCTGTCTCTCCCCACCATCCTCAAGCCCGACCAATTCTTAGAGGCTTAAGATCAGACCTACAGGATCTGCAAGCGGGATCTGAAGATCTCAGGAATGGACCTCAACAGATGGGAAACCCTGACCTCTGAGCGTTCAGCCTGGAGGCAGGCATTGCATCACGGCCTCTCCCAATTTGAAGAGACCCTTGTCCAGCAGGCCGAGGCCAAGAGGCCATCCTGAAAGCAGCCAAATCAGGGAGCTGGACAATGGACTGTATTGGGCTTCAGTGCAGGAGGGATGGTCGCTCTCGAATTGGCCAGCCTCCAGAATGGAAGAAGCAGCAGGAAGCTGGGACTTCAGCAGCGCGCAGGGGTTGGGGTGGGGTGGGGGTCTCACCTGATGCTTTGTAGAGTTCCTTGAGGGTCCCCTGGGGCTGCTCAATCTGGTGCACGGTGAGATCCACGGTCCCTCCTCCACAGTCAGCCACGATGTAGCGGTCGCCTGCGGAGCCGAAGGCAGGAGACAACAGAACCGTGCTTAAAAACGAGGGACATCGGATGGCCACTGCACCCAAACATGACACGAGGGGCCCCAACCCAAAGGGTGTCGCCCTGGTTTCCCATGGAAAGCAAGCTGCACATTTTGGGTGTCACTGAAGGACAGCCAGGGGCCAGCGATTTAGCCTGCCCTTGTCGCATCTTTAGCACCAAGAATGTGTTGTGTTTCCCCAAAAAAAATGATGGAAGGGTTAAGCCTTTTCCTGTCCCCCCTCCCCCAGGATAGATACCCCACCAATGCCATGGGGCAAAATTCAGCTTCCAGGCTTTGGGGGTGGGCGGGCAGTGAACGAATTCCATATATGGAGCAGAAGGAACATGTTAAAGTCTTCCTTTCCCATCATCTGCCTTCTTTGCAGGCCAAACCTACCAGGAAGGAGAGGGAGACAGCCCTGGAAAGAAACCGGTTTTGGGTCCCCCAAAAGGGTGTCGAACGGTGAATTACTTAATTATCTGTCCCGTGTATGCACTGCCAGGGAAATGAAGGCGTGCCTGTGGCATTTATCCAGACAGAAAATGGGGCTGGGTGGGTGTAAGGTGCTCTGTCTCTTAACTGGAATGTGTGTGTGTGTGTGTGTGTGTGTGTGTGAGAGAGAGAGAGAGAGAGAGAGAGAGATCTGCCACTCTGCCTCAGGCAACAAAATATCTTGGGCTGCCTTTGCCTTTTGAAGAAAGGTGTGTGGGTGTGTGGGTGTGTTGAGGTGGGGGGAAGAACCAGCAAGTGATCTAGTCCTGGATCCCACCCCCCCGGCCTTTGGCTTTCCATCCCAAGGTTTCCCCTTGATGTCTTCCAAACTCTGCAGCCATTTGAGAAAGAAGTGAAATCTCTCTTTTCTTTTCTTTTGTACTTCTTTTCGAAACCACAATCTTGCATGTTTTGAACACCAAAAAAGGACACTGTATTCCAGGGGGCCCGGAAGCCCGCACGACTGCTGGGTGTGTGTGTGAGGGGGGGGTGTCTGCTGTGCTTTGGCCCCACAGGCCTCCCCTCCCTCCCTCCCTCTTCTTCCCTCCACCCTATTGTAAGAGCAGCCCTTTCCGTTCTGGGGGGGAAGTCATTGTTCTGTCGCTGGGCCAGAGATGATGAGACGGAGGGCCATTCATCCCTCAAACCTCCTGGGGGGGGGGCTGCCAGCCCAGCCGGGACCTCCACCCCTTTCCCACTCCCAGTTCCTCAGGGAAAAAAAAGGCAAACACATTTGTCCCTGAAGGGAGGGCCGCCCGCAAAGCCAGCCCCGCTCGCCCCAGGCGCCCTGTCCAGGCCACTAGATTTGGGGGGGGCACAGGAGGGGGGCAGACTGGGAAGCCAGGACGTTGGACGGAGGCCAGGTGTCCTGTTGCCTTCCTTGCTGTTCCCCATCCATGAGGGGCAGGGCTGGGAAAAGTGACCTCTGGGACTCTGATTCCCAGGATCTCCAGAGTTCTGCCGTTCAAGACGCAGGAGGAAATGCATCAAGTGGGGTTCATTCCAGTGGGTGAGGGCAAGATGCCTGTGTGTGGGGGTGTTTCCTTCTGTGTAAGCTAAGCTGAAGGCACGCCCATGCATGGAAGACATGGGATCATGACCACCGTGTGTCAATCCTTCTGTTCCATGGAACATCTGTGTGCATCCCGCCCCCCCCAGGTGCCAGTCCTGCTCCATGGATTGGAGTGGGAGGCGAGGTGGGGGGGGACAGCCAACACCAGCAAACATTTTCCCTCGATGACCTCTTCCGCCTTCCCACATCAGAGGAGCATAACAACTCTCTGAACCCCAAGAGCAGGGCTCTGTGATGCCCTTCGATCGCCCACGGGCAGGCAAAGTTTGACCCAGGTGGGGAGGAAAGAAACCAGCTCCCCTCTCCCCCCCTTCCCTCCTTTCCTACCTGTTTGCATCTCCGACCACAGCTCGCCCACCCCGGCCTCCACGAGGAAGGTCCTGCTGTGCCTCGACCGGCGGAGCTGCTCCCTCGCTGCAAGGAAACAAGGCCGAAAACGTTATGGGTGGGGGAAGAGAGCCCGCCAGGCAATGTCAAGAGCAGCACCTCTGCCGGAGAGTCGGTTGGGCTTGAAAGGTGAAGTGCCAGTTTGCTTTCCACACTGAACTCTTCTGCAGTAGCAGGAGAGGTTCTGGTTCTGTGTTCAAGGAGGTAAAGGTTCCCCTTGACATTTAGTCCAGTTGTGACCGACTCTAGGGCACGGCGCTCATCCCCATTTCCAAGCCGTAGAGCCAGCGTTTGTCCGTAGACCTTTTCCATGGTCACGTGGTCAGCGTGACTAGACACGGAACGGCGTGACCTTCCCACCATGGTGGTACCTTTTTATCTACTTGCATTTGCATGCTTTCGAACTGCTAGGTTGGCAGGAGCTGGGACAAAGCGACGGGAGCTCACTCCGTCACATGGATTCGATCTCATGACTGCTGGTCTTCCGACCCTGCAGCACAGAGGCTTCTGCAGTTTAACCCGCAGCGCCACCACGTCCCTGTGCTCAAGGAACTCTTGTTCTTTTTCTTAAAATTTTGGAGACCCTTCTTTATCCTTTGGTTTGAAGCGCGACGGCCTTTGGATGCGACCCAGTCTGAATCGGACCCTCGTGTTTCTCAAAGGAGGCTGACTCCTTGTTCAAACGAAATTTCCAGGAGTGGACACGAGGTAAGGAAGGCGTTACAAGGAGTGCAACTGTAATGCGTGAGTTTTGGGAGTGAAGTGCGTGTAACCAACCGAGGCCCCCCTCATGTAACACAGGGCTCAGTCACACGTGCCACAAGAACCCTAGTTATACAATTCTTTCTTGAAGTGTTACATATTTACATGCGGTCTGGCAGTGTAGATCTACCGCGGGGCCCGTTCACATGGCTGTCCATTCAATCGGCATATTTCTTGCTATATGTACCAATTCTCTAGGCTACATGTGCCGTCTCCTAGAAACGGATTCATTTGCAGTCCTCTTTTGGGGTCTCCCCGGTGCCCTGAAATTTTCTTTAAAAAACAACACCCCAATAATTCGTTCAGTGATAGCTTGCGGGTTTTCCTGTCACTCCCAACTGTTTCTCGAGGGCTGTTTGCAGCTTGTCAGTTTAGCTCTAATGCGAAAAGGATGCAGGGAATTCCCTGACCTGCCTGAGACTCTCGCCTGCTCAGGGAAATGGATCATTTCCCGTACTTCCCTCTGGAAGAGGCTCCCAGCTTTCTCTCCAATGGGCTGGCGAGAGAGGCCTCTCTCTCTCTCTCTCTCTCTCTCTCTCTCTCTGTGTGTGTGTGTGTGTGTGTGTAAATAAATGGCGGCCACCGGAAAGACAAACAAGGGGGTCCCAGACCAAAACCGTGCCAGGAGGCAAAAAAGGTTAGGCTGTGGCTGTCCTACTTTGGGCACATCACAAAAAGGTAGGATTCCCTAGAAAAGACAATAAGGCTGGGAAAGGTGGAAGGCAGCAGGAAAAGAGGAAGGCCAGACACAAGATGGACTGACTCCAGAAAGGAAGTCACAGGCTTGAATTTATCCAAGAGCTCAGCAGGGCTGTTGTGGAGGGGACCTTTTGGGGGTCACAAATTCATGGGGTCACCATCGGTCAGAAGCGACTTGACGCCACCCCTCACTGCTCTGCTTATGCCAGAAAGAAAAGCTTCAATAAACATAAGCATCCTTTTGCATCATTTTATGTTGAAGTCCTCAGACCAATTTTGAAGGGTTCTGTACCCAACGCCTCTCCTAAACGTGCACAAAGCGCATCCTGGTGAACAGAACCAAAAGGACGTGGGGCAAATGTGGTCCCAGCAGATGCAGAAGGACTTTCTTTTGTAAGGAAAACCACCTGCTTTTCAAAATGAGAGGGCCTTTGCTAGAGAGAGGAGTCAATCCAGGCTTGATTTTTCTGATGCAGAGGAAACCATGGATTCAGATCTCGGTTTTTGGAAAATAATCGCTATGGCTATGCCATTGAGCGTCGCCCACCCCACCCCCCAAGAAATCAAGAGAGCCCCCCACAAATCCCACCTTCCTATTGGCAGAGATGCAGCCATTTCCGTGAGGCTGTTTGCAATAAGCAGGGCTTTTATTAGCTGTGGTTTGTTCTGCTAATAAACCCAAATGACAAGCAGATGGGGGCATCTTAATTTAAAACATGCCTTTCTCTAACTGGAAAAAAATTAAAAGACCAGAAAATAAAAGTGTTTCAGAATGTAGGCAGGCTAAGAAGGAGAACAGGGTTTTGTTTGACTAGAAGAGCTTTTTCACAAAATTCACACCCCGCCTGCGGAACTCATGGCCACATGATGTTTTGTATTCAATCCTGACTGTCTGTCTCCCTAGTTCCAGTTCAATAGTCTAACCATTGCACCATACTGCCCCTGTCCAGTGGGTTGCCGGCAGGATAGACCTGATGGGCCAGGAATTGGAGAAGTGACCCTAAACTCCCCCCCCTCGAGCCAGCATAGGGCCATGGCAGGTGGGCCATTTGGGGAGTCCTTGCTCAAAAAAAGAGCACATAATGGCCAGTATCTTGCGGCCTCTCCCAACGAAAGTGGCCCCACTGATCCAATGGGATTTAGAAAAGGGTTGACTCTGGCCGTAGATTCAGCTTATCGAGCAAGGCTTCCGAGCTCCTTTGTGATACATGCCTCAAAGCTAGCAGCTCCGGAGAAGGAAGAGGGTGGGCGTGAATTTCAGGATGTGTGGCAGCTTTGATGCCTGAGCGCCCCGTCTTCTCTCTTTTACAACTTGCACCTGAGCTCACTGGTTCTGTGCAAAATGGTCTGCATGTATGTCACACGCATCAGCGCCAGAATCCCATTGGCAAACGTGAAACAGAAGAGTCCCACTTCTGGAGCACTCTGGATTTGCTCCAGTTTTCTCTGCAAGCCAAAGATGGCTCCAATGGAGGGGGAAAACATCCTCTGTCTGTCTGTCTGTCTGTGTGTGTGTGTGTGTGTGTGTGTGTGTGTGTGTGTGTGTGTGTGTGTGTGTGTGTGTGTGTGTGTGAGAGAGAGAGAGAGAGAGAGAGAGAGAGAGAGAGAGAGAGTGCTGCTTGCGCACAAGCTCAGTAGATCCTCCTTGTGCAAATGGCAGGAAAAGTGCACCCAGGGCTTAGAATGGATAGTTTCATGTGCAGCGAACAATGATACCAAGGGAATATTTGCTTAGGGGCCACTGCAAAGCGGTCTGTGTTGTCCGTCTCACTCTCTCGCAAGTGCCTCCATGCGTACATGTATTACTTTGCAACACAAGGGCCAGGAAATTGTAAAAGCCTGCCCTTCGGTCTCTCTCGTTCTGGCCCTGAACCATCAGGAAATGGGAAGCCGTTGACCTGACCACATGAAGGTGCCAGCCTGCATCTTCCCGTTTGCCCTCTCGGCGGTCTCCGCCCCCCTGCCACAAGCCAGGTGCCGCTGGAAAATGATAAGGCTTTGAGAGAGACCCTCTGCCCGTCCTCAACTCCTCCAATTTGAAGACCAGCTTCTTTGGAAGAAGAAGGTACAGCACTGCATTCATGGCACAGAACATCATCCATCCTGCACCATGTGCCACCTCACCTTTCCCGTGATGCTTCCTCAAGGCCATGCACTCTGTTTCCCCCACACACACACACACGCTTCACCCCATCCCCATCCACGCACCTTGCCTGAAGCTGGAGTCAATGGGAAGGTCCGAAGCAAGGCCGTTGGCCTGAGGTTTGTAGCTGAGGTCTATCAGCTGATTGAGGCGCAGCTTCCGGCAGTAAATGGAGGCGGCTTCGGGTTCCAGAGCAATCAGCAGCTGTTCGGGGTTCTCCGAAGACACCAGACCAGCCTGAAGGAAGGAAACAGAACAAGGGGTTAGAGGGCAGGAGGAAAGGTTGCCGCAGGGAGCTGAAAAGGACCCACCCCGGAGAGCCCCCGTTGTCATCACATGCTGCTGTCGCGTCACCTCCTACTTGGGGTGACCCCATGAATGAGTGATTTCTGCCCCAAATCCAGCTGCCTTGTTCAGCTCGTGCAGACAAAAGCCTGTGGCTTCCTTTAGAGAGTCCGCCCATCTCGTATTTGGTCTTCCCGTTAGAAGAGAGCCCAGAGCAGGGCAAAGTTCCTGTTTTTGATTTCCCCCAGAATCTCCCAGCTGGCATGCTCATGACGGTGTCACGGAGTTGTCAAAAAGGAACTCCCTCGGGTTGTGAGAGAATCCCTCACATCAGCTCCTCTTCTAGGCAGACTCCTGACCCACTGCTGCGCGCTGCTGCGCGCACACGCAGGCACACACGCACACACATGCACGCACACACACCAACATGCATAGGTCAGTTTTATTGCAAAAACCAATCAAGCAAGTCATCAATCAGATGAAAGTACGAAAGGCTAGCTGGGATATTCAAGGTCCAGGCAGGATCTATTGTGGTACAACAGCGTAAGAACTGGAAATCATTTTCCATCACGGTCAGAAGTGATCCTGGCAGCCAGCAATGTCTGAGAATGTAGAAAAAGTGATGAATCTGAGTTTATTGATAACTCAAAGCAGTTTCTCATATATTAGGTTCAGAATCCTCATCACTCTGCTGAATAGGAAAGTATTTAATTCCTTCCTTCTGCAGATGGGAGAGATTTGGCAGAAAGACTGAGGGGTGTGACCAGACGGCCACATTGTCCCAGCCTAGAGCAGACTAGAGTTGTTCATTTGTCTGTTCATTTGTTCCTTTATTTATTTATTTAAATTCAATTTTTACCCTGCCTTTCTAGTAGCCAGGCCGCCACTCTGGGCAGCTTACAATGGAAGCATCAGCAACGTATGCTAAAACTTGATAATAGACAAAAATTAAGGCACTACATTGGGGGGAAAAAGTGAACCCCCCACTTAAGCATGTCATAAAATCGATACCAAGACGCAAGAGGACAGCAAGCCAAACAATACGTATGCTAAAACTCGATAATAGACAAAAATTAAGGCACTAGATTGGGGGGAAAAAGTGACCCCCCCCAACTTAAGCATGTCATAAAATCAATACTAAGACGCAAGAGGACAGCAAGCCAAACAATCCACCTATAAAAATGTGGGTCATCAAAAAAAACTTAAAGCGACAAAATGAAACAAAATTAATTAAACAGGGGCAAGAGAATGGAAACCCTGAGTAAACAGCCTGGTCTGCCCTTTTTTTCCTGGAAGCCAAGGAGGGGGCGGGGGCCTGATGTATTTCCACGGGAAGAGAGTTCCATCTGTTGTGCAAACCCCCGTCCTTCCTCGATGCTTGGCTTAGCCCCTTAATGATCTCAAGAAATGGAAAGCTTCCTTTCTGCTCTTGGGAAGGGAGAGGAAGTTTAACATTTCTTTTTAATTGTTCTAACTGACACAGGGCAGGCAACACTGAAAGGACTGGTTTGTTCGTTTTTAAAAAAGCTCTTTCTAAGCGTCACTGATGTGTTTGTTAGCAACAATTTAGAAGCAATGGACGTTTTCCTCTCCCTTGCTTGCCCCAGAGGACTGACCAGGGAGGAAGTGCTCCCGTTTATCAAGACTGTGGAGTCCCTTAAGGCAAGGGACAAAATTCAGCCACCTGCCATCCGAGTCATTCTCAGCGACCACACATGCCGGAACCAAACCAAAATGGATCAGTGCCTTCCTGTCCCGAAGAAACCGTGGTCTCCTGACAGAGACCCAAAAAAAGATGCAGAAAGGCCTGGATCAGGGGTTGGCTAGTTCATGACAGCATGTCTGTTGCGCGATCACCAGGAAAAAGGAGTCAACTGGCATCTTTCCAACCTGGACCCAACCACAGGCCAAATGCCTGTGTAGTCACACCCTGAAGGCCACTGGATCATTCACAACGGTGCTCCTGCTGGGCGTCCCCATCTTCCTTGATGCTTCTTCTTGCCACGCAGGATTTTGATCCCTCCGCCAGGGACACCTGCATCAGTCTTCCGCTAGCTGGTCCCCTCCAGGTGCCCTGGTCGGCTGCTCCCCTCGGGATGTGCCGGTTGCATCGTGATGGGGCTGGTTCTCCAGCTCATCGGAGAGGCATGAAGTTGGGGAAAGCTGGCCTGCGTGGCGTGGAAAATAAAATCTGCCTGCAACAGCCAAGTCCTCTCAACCCTGCCCATGGACATTGGCCTCCACAGTGGCACCGAATCAGCCGGCTGATTTGGCATCGTTCCTTGCGCAGCAAATAGGTGGCACTCAGGGTGCTGCCGTTTCCCTTTGTTGAGTGTCCAGAAGCCGCATCAGCCGGCAGGAGCCAGAGATGGGTTGCCTTCTTCACCTTGAGGATTTAAGGGCACGCAAGAAAACGGCAGACCCACAGAGATTTACAGTTGTGTGTGGGAAGGTAGGAACTTTGACCCTCTGTTTTGCTGACTGAGGAAGAAAGGCAGACGGTCACAACAGGACGATCGATGGCTCTTGTGTTCAGGAAATCCACGGTTCCATCCCTGGCATCTCCGTTTCAATCAGGAGTGGGCAGAGCGGTGCTCTCTTGAGGCTCACAACTCCCAGCATCCCCCACCGGTGGCTAGGCTGGCTAGGGCCGGAAGGGGCGGCAAGGCTCCAAACTCGGGAGGGTGTTTGGCAACCAAGGAAGTTTGAAAGGCCCACCTCTCTCTCTCTCTCTGCCCCCTAAGAGCTGCTGCCCATCAAAGAAGCCACGCAGCGGCTGGAA